AGGAATATATATATTCCAGTATTCCTTGTATGAAATAATTAGTAATGTCAGACATTGTTGTAACACTGTACTAAGTAGAAGTCTAGAATTAGCTTGAATGAACGTTAACTTTCTCTATGAATTTTGACTGCTTACAATTGCTGGTACCTGGTAGCATTTATTTTCCCTCAAGAAGAACCTAGTAACCTTAAGAAGGTAGGGAGGATAGATGCTCTACTACATTTCTTCAGTTGTGTTATGTGTATTTCTTTTTCTTATCAATTTAGAGCTCTTCTCTGGAAAAAAAGAAGAAAAGCTGTTTTGTGCCTCTCTCTTTTTTTGTATGTAAATGTGCAATTATACTGGATTTTGTCTTGTGAAAAGCAAAACAAAAAAACACTACATTTCCTTTAGCTCCTAAACTGCCATTTGCCTGATTCTGGCAATTAATGATGAGGTATTTTATTGGGCCTCTAATTCTATTGATTAAATATGGTCCCCCCTAAAAAAGAGCAAAATGGAAAATGCTATACATGTTACCAACTATAATCGCTACAAGTAACATGAATTACATCTCACCAAAACACTAAAATTTGCTCTTGAATAATATAGTTTAATGTCCTTTTAAAAATAACTTAAATCTAGGTTTTATCATACTAAAACTTTATTTTATATATGTATATGATAAATGTTTGCTTTTCTAAACTTACTAACATGAAGGATTTCCTTTAATATTCAAGATGTAACTCTTGTTGAAACAGTATCCAACATGAAATCTTATTTCCTTAGTGCTATTTGATATCTGATGACTTTTATATGGTAAGCCAGGGTATGTCCTATATACTACAGATACCTTAGGTTTAAGTATTTTTATGCAGCTCTTCATGAGTCACATTTTGTTTGTATATCTATAACAGAGCTCTGCTGACTTCTTAATTTGGGGGGTGAGGGTGACTAATAGGATTGTTCTGCCATTTCAGAAACCGGTAGAAAACAAAATAGCTAACAGTAACTCTGGAATCTTTGTGCATGAGTGTTCTTTAATGGTCTAAAAAGTGGTTTTAGTCAGGCCAGTGCCAAGGAGCTCTTCTTACATCTCCATAGTGTCACTGTTGACCTATTTAACATATTGTGAAGTTGCAGGTTCTGGAAGCAGAGAAAGTAAGTTGTGCTTTAAGTGTGCATAGTATACATGCACTGTGCTTCCTGTGCTTCACCAAGGAAATATTCCAAAAGACATTGCTCACTCACAGTCTGAGTTTGGTATTTGTTAACTTTTAAATCTGTATGTGGTCAGAGCATAAATGGTTGGTTTTTATTATTATTCAAAAATGAAATAAGTTAAAGCAGCATGGGATAATGGTGGTATTATTTTTTAACCTCATGTTAATTCTTTGGAGGAAGAAGTGAAAATAAGATTTTTGATAATCAGCACACAGCATCAGAAATTAGATTGGTAACAACTACAGATGAAATCCTGGTCACAATTCCAGATGCCGTGCAGTGGAGAGAGGGGCTGGACCATGGCTGGTATGAGAATCAAGAGAGCTGCCTGTAGCCGGCTTAGAAGGGGAGTACATAGCCTTTCATTTATGGAAGGCTAAAGCAGTGGTGGGACTCGAGTCATTTCTTTAGTATTCAATCAGGCTAGAACTAGGGGTAAGGTGGGGTTTTTATTTTTTGTTTTTACAAACTCCCACTCTTATCTTAATCCTCAAAAATAATCTGGTCTAAGTTATAGAATAGGCTATTAGAATCATTGAAACTTGGAGATTTCTGTGTGTTCAAGTTAGGAACAAATCTCAGAACTAAATAATAATAATAATAATAATAATAATAATAATGGGGGCAGGTAAAGCTGCTCCTAGTTCCCTTCTGCCATTTCCAAATATTTGGTAACATGCCTGTAAATAATGTTGTGAAATTCTGAGATAATCATGTAAAGGACTCTTGGATAGGGCAGGCTGTTGAACAACTTTCTTTCCTGGTTCATGAAGTAGCTTCCTTTTTGAGTAGTTTGTTGCATGGTGTGTTCCAATCAGTGTCAAAAACAGATCTGCAGTTTGGAAACAGGCCAGCTACACAGAGTATAATCTCTGGACTACCCAGCATTTGTTGCTTGTCTTTTGTTTCATTTTTAAATACAAAGCTCTTCCTTTAACGTTCACCTTAAAGTCAAGGTGCTGCCACTTGCTGTGTCCCAACAGGATATGAAAACACGTTATAGCTTTGGAAACTTATGTTTGATGCACTTGTACCTGAGGTACGACGATACTGGGAAGTTGCTTTATGGGCAGTGAAAATTAGACTTGCATTACTTCTTATAAGGCTAATGCATCTAGCTACCCCCAAGTTGTCCAAGTTGCTGCAGACGTGAAGTGATCATTTGGAATAATTTCCTCTGGCCTAGGGCCACACAGAATTGGTCTCTGGTTATTTGTATACGAAGAGGAGAACTTGCTTCCATTTTTAGATAAACTAGAGAATAGATATAATTGGACAACTTTGTCATGTATTAACAAATATTGAAAAGTTGGAAATTTGTATATACTGAAATCTACCAACTTTTATCTGGGGTGGGCACAGGGAGAGAAAGGGGTTATAGTAGGGTAAGGGAGGGGAATGATAATGTTTACCACAGGTACGAAGTAGTCACTTTAACATTGAGACCTCTGCCTCATTGAATCAGGTTTTTTAAGTACTTGAAATTCTTCAGATTCTCCTTATTTTAACAGTTATTTTAAAATGTATGAAGTAAAAAGCATTGTTTTATATACTGTTTTGAAAATAAATAGCCTAGTCTCTTATCCTCTTTCACTTAGATTAAAAGTGAAGTTCTGCAAATGGGAGAGCATGTTCACAGTAAAGATCTGATTTAATGTACACATTTGAGGGAGAGACTCCTGCATGGTATGCCAGCAACATTTTTATGAATATTTTCTATGTATGTTCTTTATTTTATCATTTTGTCAACCCAAGCACCTCTTCTTTCCTTTTAATATATGCCTGTGTAGGGGACAAAAAAATTTGCACTTATGTTACATTCCTAAAATGCTGAGTGTAAGCTGTGTATTTAAAAAACCATTTCCATTCTTTTTTCGTCAGTCCATTGCTTAAGTAACCAGTTAAGGTGTTTGTGGCACATATGAGGGGGGAGGAGGAAGAGAATTACCTGATCTTTGATAGTCTATGAAAGTCATTAATGTGTAAGTAAAAGGGAAAAGACGAATAGCTGCCAAAGTCATTTATTCAGTCCTGTTTTCTTATGTGACATTACTGTATCTGCATATTGGCAAGAAACACCCTCAGGTTCCAGTACTCCCCTTCTCTGCCTGCCACAGACTTCTGATATGTGTGAATGGCTCTCAATATCCAGTAGATTACCTGGATTAGGTATTGATAAAGTATTCTTGTCAGTTTGGAAGTGGACTGGATAAAATTTATTTTTACTTTGTTGTCGTTTATATCTCTTTCATTTGTGCTGTCACATACCCTATGTTAAAAAAGAAAAGCATTATGTTAAAAAAGAAAATCATTATTGCCACTGACAACCAAGATGCTAAATGATGACTACAACTGGCTAATAAGATTCTTTTTATATACAAGGGTGTGTGCATAATTGGAATTAATGAGAAATTCATTTGTACCCACTTGTGATATTGCACAACAAACACAGATACCTAGATTCTGTTTTCATTTCCTTGTGATCTTTATCTATGATAACCTTTGTAGATTGGTTATTTCTGTACTTTGTTTATCTGTAATAAACTTTGTAGATCCTGTGAAATGTTATTTCGCCTAAATCACTTGAGACTTGAGTCTTTAATAACAAAGCACCAATATTCACTAAAGTCAATCTCTTTTGAGTTTCTGTGACTTGGCTAGAAGCTCGACACTAAGGGATTAGTGTTAATTTTCCCTAGGGGTGTTCCACTAGGGCATCACTGTATATTGACTTGATGTTGCCACGCAGACTTCAAGATATATATTTTGGGGATTTTTTGATTGGCCTATGTTTTATTGCATAGTGTGAAGTGTGCAAAGCTTGGTTAACCTGTATATAGATAGCTTCTTGTTGACTTGTTATCGTGTATTTAGGATTGCCTGTAATATTTAAGCTGCTTACTCTGCTGTGTGTGCTGGTAGGAACATATAATTTTTGTATATTATATTTACTGAGATGTTGCCTTTTTTAATTTTACAAATACTTTGGAATTCAAATGTGGTTTTTTGCTTTGTTTTGTTTTTACTTTCGTAAGGATTAATTTGGAAAGGTTTTTAATGACATTCCACTGATTTCAGATTTCGCTTGAGATTGACTTCAATAAATTGACCTGTATGTTCCAAATTAAATATGTGGACTTGTTCATTGCCTAGTTTTCTTGCTATAACTCACTGGGCCAAAGGCCTTCATGGGGGAGGGGACCTAGCTGCGGGGCTGCATGACCCAGTATGTCTACCCTCAGTCAGTGAGGCCTGCAGCACAGCAAGTCCTGTGTGAGAGCTTAACTACATCTTTCTTTAACATGCTATGCTGCTAATAAATTGGGATCCAAAAGTCCAGGGGTTTTGTTTTGTGTTCATGGAGGAAAGGTCTTTGGAGAATGTTGCTACTTGGCTTTGGTGTCCTCTGAGAATATCCAGGAACTGGCTAGCTGGCGAAGGACATGACCGGGAGATTGCCATCACTTTCATCCCATTGCTTATCAGACAGAAAGGTAATCTGCAGCTTTGCTGGACACCGGGAGCATGCTCCTTGCCCAAAGTATCAGAGAACAGCACTGCTTGCTTTTCGTTCCTTTTGCTAGGTGATATTCTGAGAACACCACGAAGATGCCACTCCTCCCCAGATTGCAGACCTGGCTGGGGTAAGAAGGTGGCTGAACGCCTGCCCTGCCTGCAGTTCCCGGAGTGCCCGCCAGCGGGCGCTGACAGCCGCTCTGAGATCCGGCCTCCCAGGGGCGGCCCTGCGTCCCCACCGCAGCGGCTGCCACGTCAGCGTGCGTCGGTCCCGGCCGGCAGAGAGCTCTGCCCGGCTGAGCAGCCGAATGGGCCGGGTGGGGAGTGCAGAGGCGGGGGCCTTCGGGGCCGAACTGGGCCTGCGGATCGCATTGTTTGCAGCTTTCCTGTAAGTGGTTTAAGGATCGGACCCCAGGGCCCGGCACCCTATTGCACCGACAGGGCGGTCCTGTGGCCACCGCCGGTTCCCCGAGGCGCGTCCGCCCCGCCCCCCAGGTCGGGGTTCTTCCGCGGGAAGCCAGGAGGAAGCAAAGCAAAGCAAAGCACACTGCTCTTTTTTGTTTCCCTTCAGGGTAACAGAGCTTCTCCCCCCCTTCCAGAGGCTAATCCAACCGGAGGAGATGTGGCTTTACCGGAATCCGTATGTGGAAGCAGAGTATTTCCCTACCAAGTCGATGTTTGTGCGTGGAGAACTAGCCCTTCCTTCTACCCCTTACTACTTATTACTGAGCTTTAACGCTGGGAAGCGAAAGTGGTCATTCTGACTCCAAAATGGTCTTTGTAGGGAACATATTACTCCCTTTGTTGATGTGCTAAGGTGTTGCTTCCTAATGTTTAAGATCCACACTGAGAGAGCAGCTATCAGTCTGTTTCCGTTGAAGAGACATGTTCCGTAAGCACTGTTCCTTAGGATGGCCTGGAGTAAATGGTCATTTAGAATAATGACGTGCACACTGGAAGAACTGCCCGAGCCCAGTTATCCCTTAGACACCGAAATGCTAATTCTTTCCTGGGACACGGATGGGTCTGGTACATGAGCTCTGTCACTTCCATCCCTCTTCCCAGTAGGAGCTCCTTTAACAGTTAGTTTTGTGACTTTGGTTTTTAACCTTTGACGTTTTCTGGTTCAGGTCATTGCATTTTTCTCGCCACTGTCTCTGATCCTCCTGGCCAAATGTCTCAAGAAGGCAGACACAACAGACAGCAAACAAGCCTGCCTGGGTAAGAGCTACCCCTTCCTAGCTGGTGTCTTATCTTACTGCTGGATTGAGAAGGCAGGGTTTGTGGCCTCAGTGTGTGGAGGCCACTAAGTTCTGTGTCCCTGAAGTAATTATATCTACCCTGCATCCTACTTGTTACCCTGGGAAACAGAAAAAGAACACTTGAAGCACTTGGTTAACCTCACAGTGTACCTAAATACCTTGGATTATTTGTACCTCAGAAATGTTTTCACCCTAATACTTAAGTTCTCCCTGTACTACAACAGAGCAGTCAGTTGTTGGGGGCCAGAATTTTTTTTACAGTCAGCTCTGGTTGGAGACCCACCATTCCTCTATCTCAGAAAGGCCACGGCTACTGTCTTAATGAGACAGTGACCATGCAATTCCTTCTAGGCAGATGCCACTAACATTAAGTTTCTTTGCTTTCCAGCTGCCAGCCTTGCCCTGGTTCTGAATGGTATCTTTACCAACACAATGAAACTGATAGTGGGGAGGTAAGTGACAAGAGTTAGCAACCCCAGTGTCTGCCTTAGCCCTTACCTTAGCAGGAGATGGTTAATGGCACTTCAGCACACATCTTTCTCCTTATAAATTTCTTAATTCTCAGCCTGTACTTGCTCCCTTCCCTGCACCTTAATCCTGCGGGTGACACTTGGGCTCTTTTCTGCCCCAAACAGCATTTCAGCATTTCCCAGGAATGTCAGTGGACATTGAAGCTAGAATACCCCCGGAAGCTGCATTGTGACTTGTTCTTTGCCCTAAAAATTAATCATGTGCTGGAGTGTCCCCCCCCCCCCAATTAAATGTTGATCCTGGAAATAAAGCTTTTCTCTAGTGGTGACCATCCTAATCAATCTCATTATTTTGCCCAGGACACTATTTGGCCAACAATTAATAGGATTGTTGATGTCTGACACGCCAAAATTAATTTCTGGAGTTGTAGATGACCTCTGTGGAGAACATGTCATTTCTTCTAGGCCACGCCCAGACTTCTTCTACCGCTGCTTTCCTGATGGGCAAGCCCATTCTGACTTGATGTGCACGGGGGATAAGGACGTGGTGAACGAGGGCCGTAAGAGCTTCCCTAGTGGACATTCTTCCTGTATGCCTACCATGTGGACTCTACTACTATGTTTTTTGGGGGCTCATTGACTTTAATGTATGAAACTTGTGAGGATGGAAACATCTCACTATTGTTTGAGAACCCCTACCCTCTTTAAGAACCCCAAGATTTCACAAGCCTGAGCCTCAAATATTAGGGTAAATATTCAAGAATAGGGAAGGTAGTTTACCTTAATGAGATTTGAATATTTTATTATTGTATTAGTTGCTAGACCCTACAGTCTGGAACTGGTCATAGAAATATTAACTAACCTTTGACACTATGTGTCAGGTGTTTTGGACAGCTCTTTTTTTTTTTTAAAGATTTTTTTTACTGATTTTGAGAGAGAGGAAGGGAGAGGGAGAGAAAGAGAGCAAGATTGGTGTGAGTGTGAAACATCGATCAGCTGTCTCCTTTGCACCCCTACCAGGATCAAACTGGCAACCTTCCAGTCGGTGCACTGGACATTGCCCAACCAAGCCACACCAGCCAGGGCTGGAAAGCATTTTAGATGCTTACCTCATTTGACACTGTACTGGCCCAATGAAATGGGTACTATTATTATTTACCATTTATACATGAGAAAACTGTGGCATCGAGAAGTTAAGTAACCTCCCTAAAGTCATACAACTAGTATTCCAAAAACTATTCTTGGGATAAATATTAACTTTGGAACACAAAATAAAGTGTTTTCTTTTTCCTCTTGTTTCCCTCTCCCTCATAATCAGTTTTACCCCAGAAGTATACAAAAAAGGGATAAAACATGTTCCTATCCCCCTAGTTGCAGATTAGTGAGATAACTTCCTCTAAAAGACATACACTAACAGTTTTTCCCCCTTCTAGTTGCATTTGCTGGTCTGGCCTTTGCTTCCTTCTACCTGGCAGGGAAGTTACATTGCTTTACACCACAAGGCCGTGGGAAATCTTGGAGATTCTGTGCCTTTCTATCACCTCTGCTTTTTGCAACTGTGATTGCACTGTCCCGCACCTGTGACTACAAGCATCACTGGCAAGGTAAGCAAGGTCTTCATGCCATGGAAGCTTCCATGTATCTATCACTCATCATTTTATCCCTAGCTCTTGGCACAGAGGAGACTCTCACTAAGTGTCTGCTGAACGAAGAGTATGGGATAGGATCGGTTTTGTACTAAGAATAATTCATTTATAACCACATGAAAGATAAGAAAGTACAGTTACCTTTTAAAGAGACTACCAAGGATTTGGAATGTTCTGATTTTTCCATTATTTTGAAGCATCATAAATTTAGAATTATAAGAAGTTATTTACAACACACCTCAAACTTACTGTCTTAAAAATCAAGTTCAATGTCATGAGATTGTGTTGAGAAATGAAACTAAAATTCAGGGAAATTTAAAATTGTAATTATAATTTAACCAAAAAAATTTAAGTTGAATGATATAGTAGAACATCCAAATGATAGGATATCTTCACAGAAAACCCAGTTAAAACACACACACACACACACACACACACGTACAAAAAAAAAACACACACACAAAACTGACAGTTTTGCCCAGAGGTCCTTAGGAGACCTATTTTAAGCATAAAGTAAGGAGTTCAGCAACTCCTAAAAAGTTTATTCCTTCCTCAAGAACTCTAACTACTGAAAAACAATGAAAACTGTTAATAGTGTGAAGTGAAACTGTGTTATTTTTCTGAACTTAAAAAATATCAATCTAGTGTATTTGGAAAAAAGCTTCTTAGACTTAACTAAAGATGTGTTTTCATTTGGTGTTTAGAGAACAATCTGATAAAGATAATTCTGTAAACTATGTGATGAAACTGAGAAAGACCTGAACCTGGGTTTTTGCAGCCCAAACAACTAGAATAACCTAGAGGGTCAAGTTCTCTATACTCTGTGCTATCTGATATGATTTAAGTCTAGTATGATTAAGACTTTCTCTCCTCTCTTCAGATGTGCTAGTTGGATCCATGATTGGCCTGACATTTGCCTATGTCTGCTACAGGCAGTATTATCCTCCTCTGACTGATGCAGAATGCCATAAACCACTTCACAACAGACTTGTACTTCCCACTACACAAAAGAATTCTATTGATCCTTATCATTTTGATATTTAGAAATTGGAGCTACTGCTATAGAGAATAATAGGTGAATCAACCCCTTCTATCTGGACCATGGGATGACAAGAATTTCCTACCTTTTGACCTCTTAAAAGGTGCAAGTGAGGACATCAGCACTTCATTCCGCTTCCATATGATTATGCAGTTTCGCCCCTGCTCACATGAATTCATCATGAGGACTCAAAGTTCTTTTTCACTACTGTATGCCACACATTCGGATAAAGAGATCTTTCAGTACTCCTCTAACAGCGTATGAATCTGGTCCGTAAGATTGGTATCCCAAGATCTATGGTGTTTTTACATTTAATATAAATGCCTTTCTTAAAGAAGGATCTTGTCACAAAGAAGCCTTTTCATAGTCCTACTTTATCCTAGAAACTAGAGTTAATTCTCAAAACTTCATTTACCATACCTCAAAATCTTAAAATTTACGGCATGACCAACTAAATTATTTTGGTTTTGTTTACTTTCTTTGGTGACAGTTCCATCAAGCCTTATATAGAAAACTGTCCTTTTCTGGCTGGTTTACCATTGCTAAGCATATCTTATCCAAGTACAGCTAGATAATACTGTCTTTTTTTTCTTTTTTAATCCTCACCCAAGGATATTTTTCCATTTATCTTCAGATAGAGTGGAAGAGAGAAACATCACCGTGAGAGAGACACATTGACTAGTTGTCTCCCACACGTCCTCAACTAGGGCTGGGGACCGAACTGCAACTGAGGCACATGCCCTTGACCGGAATCAAACCCACAACTCTCTGATCTGCGGTCCAACGCTCAACTGCTGAGCCAAACCAGCCAGGGCAGTGTTGTCTATTTTTAATACTGTGGACATAAATTATTTGTCAAATTACTAAGTAAACACAATAAAAAAGAAAATAGGAGTGTGGTTTCAGTGCTAACAGCTGATGACTGTTTCTACCTCATTTGTCATAACTTCCTTCTCTCCATTCATGACTGAAGATCTGCCCAAATGCATCAACTTTGCCAACTGGCAGAGGCAGGAAAGAAAAATTATAGGCATTATCTGGAGGACAAATCTTTTTCTGTCCCTTCTTCACAATGAACTATAAAGAACAATTACAGGACATCATCAGAACTGATGCTATAGTACCTACAACTACCTTTCTCTTTATTGAGATTATATGTTAAATATGACCTTGTCTTATATATTTCTATAACATATTTTCAGTGTATCTTTTTCCTTCTGTAAATGTGATACTCAAAATGATGAATATGCTTTTTTTTTGTATTTAGTGTAGCATTTGAGAGCTGGAACATTTTCAGAGTAAAACACTGGTTTCCCCTCTGACATAGTGATTCAACTACAAGAGTGGCAATGAATGTAAATAGCAAAGGATAGTCTCAGGATTTACCTAAAATACCTGTGCTTTAAACTCTGAACTATATCTGCCTATGATAATGAAAACACCAGGCAAGGGAAAAGAACTTAAATATCAGTTCTTTGCTCAAAACTTTTATTTTTAAAATGTGTTTAGTAATCCATCCATAGGGGAAGAGAAAATGGTTATTGTACTGATTTTCTTTACTGTATGATGGATGAGCCAGGTAACAGTAGGCAGTGGGTCAATTTATTTCATCATGTACTAGAGTTTTAAATGTAATCATGTAAAAAACAAAAACAAAAAACAAAACATTTCAAAAAGTGCAACATATTATAAAGCTAATCAGTGTTAATTAATCTTTCCATGCAAACAATCTCTTTTGCTAAGATATGCAATACCAGTTCTGGAGTTGGGACTATGTAAAAAATGATACTCCACCAGAGTTTTAAAATAGACTTGGTCAAAAGATTGCAATTGATACAACTGAAATAGTACAAATAATATACAACTAAAATCCCTCCCTTTGACATGCCAACACCAATCAAGGCTCAATTACAACAGGAGGGTGTCCTCAGCCCATACAGGGGATGCGCCTGGAGCTGGGGTCATTGGGGAGGCTGCACCACTAGACACTACAGGACACTCTTTACATTAGGCCACTCTACGATGCCTGGAAGATGCAGAGCTCTACCTAATACATAGAAACCAACACAGGGAAGCTACCAAAATGAGGAGACAAATGTCCCAAATGAAAGAACAAAATTCCAGAAAAAGAACTAAACAAAATGGAGGCAAGCAATGTACGTGCAGAGTTCAAAACACTGGTTGTAAGGATGCTCAAGGAATTTAGTGAGAACTTCAGCAGCATGAAAAAGCATGCAAACCATAAAAAAGAACTAGTCAGAAATGAAGGAAATATTAACTGAAATGAGTAATTTACAGGAAATCAACAGTAGAGTAGATGAAGCTGAGAATCAAATCAGCAATTTGAAATATAAGGAAGCAAAAAACACCCAATCAGAACATTAAAAAAAAAATCCAAAAAATGAGGATAGTTTAAGGAGCCTCTGGGACAACTTCATGCTTACCCTAACCTGGTGAAGGAAACAGACTTACTAGACCAAGAAATGCAGAGTTCCAAAAAAGAGTAACCCAAAAAGGCTTACACCAAGATACATCATAATCAAAATGCAAAGGTTAAAGACAAAGAATCTTAAAAGGAAGCAAGAGAAAAGAAGTCACCTACATGGGAACTCCCATAAGACAGTCAGCTGATTTCTCAGCAGAAACTTTGCAGGCCAGAAGGGATTGGCAAGAAATATTCAGAGCAACAACCATATAAAGAAGAGCTTCCCGGACAAGAAAAAGCTAAAGGAGCTCATCACCACCAAATCAGTATTACATGAAATGTTAAAGGGTCTTCTGGAAAAATAAAGATCAAAATGACAAACAATAAAATGGCAGTAATACATACCTATCAATTGAATCTAAAAAACAAAATAAACGAACAAGCAGAACAGAAACAGACTCATAGATACAGAGAACATTTAAATAGTTGCCAGATGAAAGGGGTGAAGGAATTAACAAGTGCAAATTGGTAGTTACAGAATAGGAAATATAGTCAATATTCTAATAACTATGTATGGTGTCAGATGGGTACAAGATTTATTGGAATGAACACCTAGTAAATTATATAATGTCTAATGACTAGGTTGTATACCTGAAACTAATATAATGTATGTCAACTGTAATTGAAAAATAAAAAATTATTTGAAATATATATATATATATATATATATATATATATATATACACACACACAACTAAAGGATTTAAATCAAGCTTATCACAGCTTCCAGGATGAGGAATCAGAATTCTTTCATGGGCCAGCATGCCAGGGCCCCAAAGTTCCAAGACAACAGAAGCTCTTTGTTCAAGAACTCACCTATGAAATCTTTCATCTGGCTGTTAATTGAACAAGAATAAGCAAATCTGATCTTTCTGCAGATTTTGGGAAGTTGCAAAAAATATAAAAAAGAAAAACGGTCACATCATTAAGACCCTAGGCCTTGTTCCTAAAACTGTTTGATGCTGACCAGAACCTAATGGTCCTGAGGGCTTAATAATTAAGGGAGTGAATGTGCAAAGGAGAGAGGCAGGTTTGGATGTTCTTACGTTGACAGCTGAATGCAGAACAGCCAGGTAGAAAAGATGCACAGGGCAAGATATAGGAAAGGACATGGAGCTTCCGTGCCCTCTCCTGGCTCACTACTTTCCCTGTACCTACCCAGAAGCTCTCTGAATCGAGTGAAACTTTCTATGTTAGATGTCATTTCAGAATATATTTGATATCCATTTGGTCATCATTTTAAAGTGTTTCATTGTTATTTCTAGCCAGAAAGGCATCCACTGCCTTATCACAATGCTTCATGATTAGAATTCTTATTTGTATTTTCTTCTAGATGTTTCTTAACTTTTAGAATAGAGTTGCTTTTTCTTTTTAATGAAATATATTCCCTAAGATGCTAGTGAATTAAAATATAAATATGGTGACTTCTTTGTATAATTACAACCAGGACAGAGAAGACTAGTACAGAGATGACTGGTTTCATATGTAGTCCTGTGAAACAATTAACCTTTACTAACTCAACATAACTTTGTGTATAAGGATACCCATTGATTCAGCTACTAAGGATGGACAGGGAAACTAAGAGATAATTTTGCCACCCACTTCAGCTTGCCTTATTCAGCAGAGTTTAAAATTGGTAGATCCTAAGATGACTTATAAGTCATTGACCTTCATTACTTTTCTTTATAAAGCTATACAATTATATGAATAAATATTTCCATTTCCAGAGGGAAAAAAAATCAAGCTTATTACCCTGTGTAATATACAATCATGATAACAAGATATAAAGCTCTTATACAGTTACCTGCCCCTCACCATCAGGAAGGAAACATTTCTTAGAACAAGCAGTGGTTTGTCTAGCTATCCACAGTTACGCTGTTCATCTTTGGTTATAAGAACTCACTCTTGCTTGTCCTTTGGTTTACTCCTAAATAGTACCAATTCTGCTAATATGAAGGCCAAAAGCTTTCCCTGTAATATATGTTGAATGCTACTTAATTCTCAATAACCCTTATTTCCAACTCAGAATTTACATACAAAGAAAATAAAATATTCAATTTATCTGAAACTGTTTAGTGGTTTAGTCAGCATTAGTTTATAAGTAGATGGACAAAGGCCAGGCTCTGACCTGTACCCAAACAAACCTCTACCATCTCTAAGGTGACAGTAAGTAGCCTTCCTTTTCCTTTTCTCTCCAGAAAGGGATAAAGAGCACTGCTGTTGAAGGGATACGTAAGTGAATATTAAGTGCCAGTGCTTTTGATACCATGATACATTTATTAAAAACACACACATACACAGCTTGCCTGCTATGCCACCCAACAGCCTGTGGAAATCTGAGAAGAGTGCATCACAAAGAACACTGCAAAGACAATGACAAACTCTGACCAATGAGAAAGAAAATACCTACAGCATAGTGGTGAGCAAATGCTTGGGAAAATATTAGTCTATATTCACCCATTTTCTTCAAGGCATATCTCACTTTGCATGTTCTGACACCGACTCTGCAGTAGCTGTTCTTTACTGCATAGGTTTTTCTTTCCCAAGAAACATTTCCCCCTAGCCAAACGTACCAGCTCAACAACAAGGCCTATGCCATGAGCCT